AAATCCAAATTTACGGACATCTCTATATACATCTGCACATCCACACATCACAATATGCATACACGCACATACGCACACATGTCAGCAATAAAATAGCAAAATTATGGGAAAAAAACAACAACAGTAGAAGTGGCATGGCAACAATATTTTAATGCTCTGAACATGAATTTCGATAAACATAACTTTGGAACTCTGGATGAGTGAAGCATAAATGCATGAAATATTGTCCAATAAAGCCACTTCAGTGACCATTTGCTTGCTTTTTGCATGTTCGTGTGTTCGAAACTGAATGAACAAGGGCTATTGATCCGATGTGTCTGCTATCTATGGCATTCAAAATGATGCGTAAATGAAAGAGGATGAAAGTAAAAGTAAACCAATTACTAATCACATTGTCTTCCTCACCTTCTAGTTTGCAATAAATTTGAGCACAGCTCTGTCCACAATTCCCAGAAGCAGGAGTGTGAATGCTGTACTGGATTGGAAAAGCGAGACAATTAATCGAATTAAGATTACAGTTGTAGAATCTGGACACTATAGTCTATTCAAACCAATAACTACTCCTTCAAATTCATTTATGTTTTATGTGTTGAGTAATAAGAAATCGCGTCTTTTGATCTTTTTCTCAATGGTAAAATAGAACTTAGACTTCACTCTTATATTTTGACTTTTTCAAGAATGTTGCCAAAAGCTGTTAATTCTCTCTTAGTATATTTTTCACACAATTAAAAGATTGAATATCACAAATGGAAATTTATTGTAATGCAAGATTTAGGACAATGCATTGAATAAATCTGCTCCTGCCACTATGTCAACAACGGTTCAAACTGGCACCTTGAAGTATTTTTTCTGCAACTGATCATTTGATGACTAATCTATTAATCTGTTACTGCTCTATTAACCAATAATGCATGTTTATATATAAATTTTTGTGCAAGTGTAGCCTTACTCCGTCACAATCTATGTCAGACCTACGTTTAATATAATGGATTGCGACAGACAACACATAATAGGCGTATTCTTTCAGAGTTGTAAAAAAAAGCATTAAGTCTGGTGGAAACAAATTGGCATTACTTTTAAAATATGTTAAATGCTTATAGTTCACATATATATGTTTGTTGTTGTGTTGTGTACAACATGAAATATGAAAATTGTAAACACTAAAAATTATTTAATTTAAACGAAATGAATATTAGTAAGGCAATGGTTAGCTTTTTTATCTTATATGCACATATATAAATTATTATTATTATTTATTATTAGTAAATGAAATGCTTACATGATTTTAACGATGATTGGATTTTGCATCATAGTTCCGGTGAATAGTCGCAATAGACTGATTTTTGAATTTGGTTGCACTGAAATTTTTGCGTGTAAAACCGCTTTTTATTAATCGTTTTCAAAGAGGTTGGACTAAATAAGCCATCAGTGTTGTTGTTTCATATGTCATTTTTAATACAAGCGATTGTTTTTTTTTTGCAATATACTTACAAAAGAATAGCCCTATTAAAGTCGTATGTTAAAATTAATGTTAAATATTTGTTAATTTTTATTAGTGTAAAATATTTTTGAAATTAAATTGCAGAATAAGTTTTATAAAATATTAAAATTACCTTAGTTACTAATTAACTGTGTAATTAAAATTTTGGTAAACATTGCCGGTTTTCAATTTAAGTTATTCAATCTTGGAATCTCACCAATTTATTCTGTATGTTGGTAAAAACGCTTGAAAAACAATTAAACTCATCTTGCTATTTCTTGAAATACGCCTTAAATCGCAGATGCATATATTTACTTAATGATAATAAATTGTTGTTTTTTCACAGTATACATATATAAACGTTTTCAACAAAACCACTTTTGTCACAACAAATATTAACTAGCTACTATAGCAAGTGGACAAGTTTACCTATATTCTGTATATTTTCACCAACTTGATTTAAGAACAACACACGAAACCACTTTTCTATCTTAAACCTAATATGGGGTTTACATTACGAACTTTGCTGGTGAAAATCGACTTTGAGTGCAAAACCATCGACCAAAGTCGATTTTGCTATATAAATATTGGCACAAAATCAAAAATCTTACCAACAAATACGTATAAGTAAGTTTAAATTTAGATAAAATAAATAAATTACATATTTTACAAATTATTATTAAAAGATAAGAAAAAGAAAATAGAGTCGTCAGGCGGATCGCCATCAAACTGGACGCATTTCAATGACATCAAGGAAATACTTAGCGGACTAAAACCATTCAACATTGAACAGGTATGATGTGAAAATATATTTGTGTTAACTATATAGTTTGATTTGCAATATCTTATGTAAAGTAAAGTAAAATATTATTCCAATAATATTCAAAGATACTTACAATATAAAATATTTAAGAAACTAAATTGTATGTTGCAGTACAGGGTGTACGCATTTTATTTTTTTTTTCAATCATATTTATAGTTCATACATTAATAAACGTGTCACTGAAAAGGCCTAACGTTAAATAGACAGGAGAAGCTTCCTTCTTCGTCTGTAATCGATTTGGCTAGTGGATCGATTTCCACGTCTAAGCACGAAGACCTCCTTTCATCATCGCCAAGAAATTCGTCTGATGAACCTTTAAGAAACAAAAAATTTATATGTATATACTGATATGTTAAAAGTCTTAATAGAAAAACTGCACTAATCAAATGAACTGGAAAAGCAATTACTCGAACATTGAGATTGATTTCATAAAACGACTCATTTCAGAAATAGAAAAAATATATTGTAATATAGTTATAAGTGTTATTAATGCATGTAAATAATTAAAACATTGTGTATATATTAACTAATTTATAATATAGTTTTTGTAAGTGTAGTTAGTTTATACAAATAATGTAAATATTAGTAAAAAAAAGTAACAAGTACCAAAACAATCCGCTTTAGCTCTTCTAAATTCTTCCGCTTGGTATTATTGTCATTATAAAGGCCGTCGTGCTGCGGTTGTAATCTGTAGTTAGTACTGTCTTATTCCTTTTGAATATGTTGCCACTTCAAATTAATGCAGCAAACACCAATATTTTAATATTAATGCTGTGTTGTTGATGTTGTTATCTAAAACTTTGGCTACCCGACTGAATCTGGCTTTTAAATGTTCGAATGCACTTTCCACAAATCGATTTGCTTTTAGTAGTTGGTAATCAAATTTTTTTTGTATTGATCAATTGTAGTGGAAACAGGGTAAGGTTTCATAATTGAAGTTTAAAATCTAAGCGCAGAATCTGCAACACTTCCTAAAAACTTTTTTAAAGTATATTTTTCCGTAATGCTTGAGTCGTTACAACGCCTGGGTGCTCCAATATTGATGTACATAAATTGCTTCCTAAAACAACGTTAATAAATATACTTATATTTTATCTGTAATCAACTAGCGCCAAAAGCACCATTGGGTATCACACCTTGTGTTAGATGTCGAAGCATCGTCTTTTGTAGGTTTTATTTTAATGTGACATTTATCTTTCAGAAATAAATTGTAAATATTAAAATGTTGTGTTAAGTTGTTATACTTACCTATTGCACCGAAGCGGCCCTATGCCCCACTAGGGGAAACGGATACTAAGAAGAAGAAGATTCCTCCTAAGCAGTGAGAAAATTTTATTTTTTTAAAACGTTTTATGCACTTCTCAATTCGTTTTTCAGTTAAAAACTTAGATTTTAGAACACGCTTGCTTTAGATACTCCAAACAGCCTTTTGATTGTGCTGTACTTACGGGACCAACACAAGGCATACAGTGCAATCGCGACCCACTTCTACAGTGGTATGCGCTGTCTGAAGCTGGCGGTACTTCGGTCAATACCTCTAACGTTGTTGTAAAAGATTTTGAAAAAATCTCGATTCTTGCGGAAGCCTTTTTTGAAAAAATTTGCACTGTTATTGAGAACAGGAGGGGAATTGATTCCTAAAACTTACCGTATCTCTCCTGTAAAAATATTTGATAGTTATATCAACATATTCATAAGAAATATTTCACAAAATCTTGCATGCATCCTCACAGTTCTCGGTTTTCCGTATTTATTTGCCACTATTAATTGTAATATTTTGGCAATTATTTTACGGCGCTTCCCATTCAAATATTTTAATTTATAATGTATTATTTTATTGTGCTGTGCAGATTCGCTGCACATGAGTAGAATTGTGTTTTCAATAAAAATTATAAAATTGAGAGATGGAGAAAAAACAATATTGCCGTTCAAATTTCGGCATGAGAGCCGGGGTTTTTTTACTCGGCACTTAGGAAAAGCAGTGTTGTTTAGCAATAAATTTCAAAATTTGTGCCTTTTGGGAGCAAATTACTCCATTTTTAATACGCTTTGAAGAAAAAATGGTACTAAACAACACAGCCTATTTTATAAACCGCTAAAAATTTAAGTATCACACTTTCCAATTTTAAGGAAAGACGTATTATTTTGTAAGTACTGTTAACAATTATTATAACATAATATATTATTATAGGATAATATAATAAATAAATAAACTAACATTATTACAAGCGTCTATGAGTTTTTTCTTGCTAGTTATTTTTGGTGGCAAATATAAAGTAAGCATATCTGCATTTCCTTTTAAATTTGGGCACAACCAAAAAGTACCAGAACATTGTATAAATATGAAATTGACAATACTGATGTGACAGTCTACACAACATGCATTTTCGTCATAACCTGAAAGAGCCAATTTTGCTGTGCCCGAGACAGTCTACATATATAACATGACACAATCTTTTCTATTGTGACTGAGTTTTTTACAAATTTCCCTGTCAAAAAAAATGTTATTATTCGAATTTGATATTTACCAGTGTCTACTTTTTATATTAGTGAAAATCGACTATCATAAAAATCTTGAAAACAACTGA